CCACACACACAAAGTGATTGCAGGGGCCTTATGATAAGAAAAGGAATTTGAAATCAATGGGCTCGAGGGCTAGGCATGGTGGCACACACCTTTAATCCCGGCACTTGGGAGGCAGAGGCAGGAGGATCTCTGTGAGTTTAAGGCCAGCCTGGTCTACATAGTGAGTTCCAGCACAGCTGGGGCTACAGAGAGACCCTGTCTCAAAAAGACCAAAAAAAAAAAAAAAAAAAAAAAAAAAAAAGAGTTAAAAAGAGAAGATAAAACAATGGCTTTTGTCTCTTGTTTCTGTCAAGAAGTTCTTTGATTTACTTTTTTCAATTGTTTAAACTGATCTGCCCCTACTGCCATGTGAAATATGTACAAAATCCTTTAGTTTGTTTCTGTTGTCCTGTTTAAGGGCACATACTTTAGAACTGATCCTAGATTCAAATTCCATACTTTGGGCTCTGCTATTTCCTAGCAGTTTCTTTTGTTTTCACATAATCTTATTTTGGGTAATTATATAATCTCTGTGTGCGTCTGTCAAATGAGGTTAATTATCCTACCCCATAAAGTTGCCATGACTCAGTTTGTATGCATAAAGCATTTCATACAATGCCAAGAGCATAGCTTGTGTGCATATGCAAGCTATTATTATATTTGTAAAATGGGACATTAATTACATTTCACACATGTAATTAAAAATACATTAAAAATTTCATTTTTTGGAGTTCTTATGTTTTAAAAATTAAATTACTTTATTTATAGAAGCATTTTTGTTATGACATTTACCTTAAAACCATACTTTGAAAAATACCAGAGAATATCCTTTGTTTATTCAATATTTATGGAGTGTTTGCTAGCCATGTGCTAAGTTTTAGGAAGACAGAATTTATATACCAGCAGAGGAAGCAGTAACCAAGTGAACAAATAAATGCTCTGAGTGCTTACCATAGTGAAGAGCTGTGAAAGAATTGGGAAAGTTCTTGAAAGAGGGAAGAGTTAGTTCTTTTCCAGGTCATGTGTAGGCCTGGCCTGACTGCTGTGCTGGGAGCAGAAGCAAGGGAGGCCTGAGGGCCACAAGCCTTGCAAGTGCTGCCCGAGACTCCAATAATCAGTTCCCCCCGCACCCGCCCCATTGAATTGTATTTCTTTCTGAGGAAGCCTAAAACCCCCCAAAAGAGTTTTAAGTGAGTATGTGCTGGGTGTGACTTATATTTGCAAAAGTGTTGTGTTTAATTTGTGGGTAGGATTGACAGGTTTTGTTGATGGCTTGGATGAGGATAGTGAAAGGAGGAGTCAGGTCCAGTAAGACAGATTTTTGGCTTCTAAATACCATTTTACCAGTATGCATGTATTTCCTCTGTCACTAAACTTTTATTTTCATTTTGACCCAGTCTGTCTCAAAACTAAATTGTTAAAAGACCATTTTAAACCTTACATCTTCCTTGACTAAATTTGTTTGCACTTAAGCAAGCTCCTTAAATGTCTTCAGCTTTCTTGCTTAGTAGAAGGAAATCTTTTATAGTGAACTTGGTACTCAAGTAGAAGCATTTTCTGTTAGTTATTGCTGCTGAGGGCTTAAACTCAGCCAGCTTCCCATTCATAGTGCAGCCTCTTGAAATGAGATCCCCGAGTGCTGCCTTGCCTCAGGAGAGCCCAGAATCCAAAAGGCTGCACCTGTCAAGAAGAATCTTCCTCCCCTGACACTATGGGTGATGGATAGGCATCAGGCACTAGTTTGGGAGGGGCCCTGGTGTCTTCTGGCCTAGCTTCCCGAGGCATATGCTCCCTGCAGACCCCATTGTGCTTTCTTACATTGACTTCAAGGGTAGAAAATCAGGCTTAGGAGATTTATTTTCTGTTTTTTAAGGCTAATAGGCCTCCTAGCAAATGAATTTAACATGTTTTATGAAATGTGGCTTCTTGTGGATGGATCTTACATGGAAAGTAATCTTTAAATTTTGTGTGTGGGGGTGTGTGTGTATGTGTGAATATACAAGTGTGTGCACCACAGTGTGCACATGTGGAGGCCAAAGGTTGACATAGAGTGCCTTCTTTTATCTCTGTCTACTGTAATTTTTGGTCTCACTGAATGTAGAGCTTACCCATTGGTTAGGCTGGCTGCCCAGTGAGCCGCTCCAGGGATCTGCCTGTCTCCACTCCCTAAGCCTGGAGTTATAGATATAGTTATAGGCTTGTCCTTATGCTTGCAAGGGAAGCACCATACCCACTTAGCCATCTGTCCTGGCCCCCTGAAGTCATCTTTAATTAAGTATATTGCTGAAATTGATGCACAAGGAATGAATTAATTTTTTTTAAGAAATGAGAAATTAGGAAGAAAATTCATTACACTAATACACTGAGTTTTTAAAAATACCTAATTGAGAAGCCAGAAATGCAATAACTTCTAGTGTAATGATATTCATGATAAAAAGTTCAAATGGTTAAAATAAGAGTTACAGATGGATGACACATTTAAAAATGATTCAAAGATGACTCCAGCATCCAAAGCAGACTATTTTAGTCCTTTGTAATCTGCCTTTATCCACAGTGGGTTATGAAGGCACTGATAAAGATCTTGTCCAAACTGCTTAATTTGTTCCCTCTCTTAAGGTTTGATGTGTGCTCACCAATTCTTGTGCTGCTTGGCAGGCTGCTGTGAAGGGACATCACTTTCCCTTTGTTGGAGATGGCTCAGGATTCTGGAGACTTTGCTTCTGACTATCAATTTTGGCTGCAGAAGCTTTCTGTATGGGAACAGGCCTCTGCTAGAGAAGTCCAGCAGGACACCTGCCTTTACCTGTCCCAGTTCCAGGAGTTCTTGAGGCAGATGTATGAAGTCTTGAAAGAGATGGTAAGTAGTGGATGAAAATAATGTAAATATTTTGTGACATTAGGGACTCCACCAGATTTCACTAAGCCAGAATTCTTCCTAGAGTTGGAGACATGTCTTATTGACTTTACTGAAGTTAGAAAGACAAATTATCCATAGGTACTGCAGACAAGAGCTGGTTTTCTAACCTCTGATTATGGCACCATTGTCTTCCCTACTGGTAGTGGCACATGAGACTTGCTAGCTATTTGTCATTCATTCATTCATTCATTATTTTTGCAGTACATGGAGTGAACCTAGGACCTCCTACATGTTAGGTAACTGTATCCTGAAGGCAAGCACATTATTTTTAGATAAACAGGACTTTGATATTTGCTGTATAGGTAATAAATTGGACCCCCCCCAAGATCCTGTGTCCTTCAAATCTCAAGGGATTGTTAAAATGTTTACTTTTTCCTTAACTGTTTAGAAGTATATTCTCCTAAGAGAAGATTAAGGTCTTTTCTGTTGATACCTCATTATTAAGATATTAAGATCGATTCTCTCTCTCTCTCTCTCTCTCTCTCTCTCTCTCTGTGTGTGTGTGTGTGTGTGTGTGTGTGTGTTTAAGGCAGGGTCTTAGTGCATCCCTAGCTGGCCTGCAACTTGCTGTGTAGATCAGACTGGTCTCAAACTCACAGAGATCTGCCTCTGCCTTTGCTCCTAGATACTGGGATTAAAGGCATCTTGCCACCATGCTCACCTAATAGCTCTTCTAATAAATATTTTTAGATTTTTTCTGGGAGCACATATTTCATATTATGAACATAGTAGTGTTTCATATATTTTTAAATTTCAAAATGAAAAGCCTAATTACTATTTAACATAGGTGCTTTCATGTAATGCTTCCTTTCTGTTCATTAATCCAAGAAACAAGTAGGAAATTTGAAGAATTCGGTAGCTGTTTACATATCTTTAGAAATTAGAAGGAAAGGCTTGTTGAACAAGCAATGCTAATTTTTGAAGCTGGTTTAAAAGTAAGATTTATGTAACTTGACCTTAACATGGTCCCAGAAAGTCTAGACCCTGCCCTCGTGCCAAGACCAGTGAAAGCAGTTTATTGCGGCGGCAGTGGGGGGTTGAGGGGGTTCCTTCTTGTTCCAGCGTACCTGCACACTCGCACAGTTTGCGCTCATTCTTTGAACTTTCATGAAAGGTAGAGAAGTGGGGAAAGAGCCAGTTGTGCACCAGAATGCTCATTTTTAAATTTTAAGCTGTTTTCTATTTGATTGATCTTTTTTGTTATTTCAGATGTTAGGTTGTTGTAGATTAAGTATGATGTCATTTAGTATGTAACAACCAAAATAGTAATAGAGATATATATCTTTATGGTTTGGCTGCTTTTCTTTTTTACATATTCCAGAGTTCTTGTTCTTTTAAACCTTTGAAATAGCCTTACTAGAGCTGAGTGAGGAACCTTTCTTATAATGCTAAAATAAAATAATAACATGTAGATATGGGGTTATATAGTTATTAATCAACAATGTTGTCCCCGCCCCCCCGCCCCCCTCTTCTGGTGTCTTCGTTTAAATGAAATAGCCTTTCCTGCTATTCTTGAATATTAAGTTTGAGCAAAATAACAAAGTTGAAATTACCTCATTATATAATACTAAATTTTGGGTTAAGGGTGAAATAGGATGGTTGGTTGCTTGTTAAACTTTGAATTTCTTAAAGATCTCTAATCTTTTCTTGCTCCCTTTCTAAACTCATTGAAAACAAGGAGCATTCAAGCTCCCTCAGTGTATTGTGTTAGTTTAGTTGAGTTACATAATACCCTTCTATTATAAAAAAAAACTTTTTTTTTTTACAGGATTCTAATACAGTCATGGAAAGGTTCCCTACAATTGGTCAACTATTGGCAAAAATTTGCTGCAATCCCCTTATCTTAGCATATGGTAAGAATCTAAGATGTGTCCTCCCAAAACACAATGTGTAATTACTATTTTAGTCTTTGTATTGTCTAACCAAGTACATAGGCTTACATACAAACCTCCTGTTTTTCATGGAACAACTTATCACTTAAACTTGGAACAACTTAAACTTGCTGCTCTGTTGCAGAGAAGGCAATTACTGTCCATATTTCTGTATATTTTTATAAACCCATATACATGTGCACATGTGGATCTGTAGGGGAAATAGAGTTTCTTATAGGATGGAAATAACTGATGACTTAAATATCAGAATTTGTCTGTGATCACTTCCAACACCTCATTTTAAATTCACTGTAAAGCTTTATATTAATGATACTAAGTTAATTTATTTCACAGTTTCATCTTAACTCACATAGTTAAGATGTTAACATGAATCTGTTCTCAGAGGTGCTGTAACTCATTGTTCAGAATCTGAGTCCTACCATAGCTTTGCAGTTATTTAGGAGTCACATTCTGGTTTTATCAGAGGTTGAGAGAATTTGGAGACTCTTTAGGGGAGAGACCCCCTCCCTGACTTCCTGCCTACCTGTCTAGTCTCATTTTCAGTGTTATTTTCCATTAGCAAGCAGTAAGCAGCATTCCTCCCTGGTCTACGCTTCGGCTCCTGCCTCTAGGTTGCTGCTCTGAGTTCCTTCCCTGACTTCCCTCAGTGATAAACTGTAACCTGGGAGATGTAAGATAAAATGAACCCTTTTCTCCCCAATTTTGTTTTGGTCCATGCAACTGAAAGTAACTAGGACAAAAGTCCAATGCAAATGTTTTCCCTTTCCCACTTAGTTCATGGCTCTTGCAATGATTTATGACAAAAAAAAAAAAAAACCCTAAAGAACAACAGACCGTCAACCCAATAACAACAAAACAAACAAAAACTCCAAAGCAACAAACAGGCAAAACAAATAGTTTCCATCAAGGAAAGAAGTGATTCAGTCATCTGTAGTATAAATTGAGATCAGGATCAGAAATAAGGATAATAGGAAAAAAGAATGATTTTGAAATTAAGAAACATTAGAAAGAGAAGAGAAAAAAATTAGTAATAATGCAAAGGGAGAGAGAGGAACCTGTCTTATTCAATGACATCCTCTCCATGCAAATATTGCCTTCACCTCCTGCTTCTTGGGTCTTGGTTCTAACTCTGCCCTCAGATTAAGGCTAACAATCAGAATCTCTCCTCACTGACTTTATTCTTTTAAACTATAGGATTAAAGTGCAAAGAATATAGTTTTAATTTGGAATTTCAGTTCAGGATATCCAAAAAGTGAAATGTTAAGTGGCAAATGTATGTGGTATATTTCTTTTCCCCTTCACTCATTTTTAGAATTCAAATCTGTGTCAAGATCTGCTGATATGACTGTCCCCCAAATGGACCCTAGATAGCTTCCTGTCTGACTGAAGTGCTCTGCAACCTTTAGAGTGCTCCAGTCCTAATCTTTTGGCCTCTGGGGCAGGATCTGTTGGATGCCATCCCTCTTAGAGAGTACTGGTAATACTGTAACCAGCAATGGTTTATTTATGTTTGTGAACCACCTAAGTCAAGTGGGCTGTGAGCTCATTAGCAGTATGTTTCAGAGCATCTCAGTGCATTTATGACTCTGAGCACACCTACAGTTGGGGTGAGCTTCCCTAGATCGTCTTCTTTTTTTCTTGTTTTGTTTTGTTTTGTTTTTGAGAGAAAAATTTAAAACATTTGTTACACTTGTTGAACTAAGTGTGAAGAATAACTCAACACATGGAAAAATCATCTGTCTTTTGATTATTTGGGGCTTAAGCTCCATAAACTACCATTTTCTTCCTTCCCTCTCTTTTTGGAAATTGCTTTCAAACACATTGCACCCTTTTAAACCTTGGACATGGGTTGTGCTGGCTTATCATTGGATGTGCCTCCTACTGTTGGTACTTGAAGAATTTCTTCTAATATTTACACATGGGAAGTACCACAGTTATGCTTTTACTCTGTTTTTCAGTCTGAAGAACCCAGGGATCTTTAGAAGTTATGAGTCTTGAAATGAATGTATGCCAGGCAAGGTTATGCTTCCTGTTGCTCTAGTCGAGCTCATAAAGGATAGGGAAAACTGAATACCTCCTAGAATAACCTTTGACATATTTATTCAGAGTTACTAATTGCTGAGGCAGCATAAACTTAAGATTGTTGCTGGGGGAAAAATAGGCTTAAAAATTACTGTTAGCATCCTTTTATAGGTAAAAATATAGAGGTGACAGCATAGTTTGTTTTGTCCTTGTGTCTTTGTTAATGAAGACTTTGAAGCACTGTGTTAGATTACAGAAGGTGGGAAGGTACAGAAGAAGGGATGTCTGTGGAGGATGATGCAGGGGCTGGGTATATCTGCCTCTCCTCCTCTACCTCATTCAGAGTCTGCATTGCCTTGTTCTGCCTTGTGTTGGATAGCTTCAATTCTTAGATTTCCTTTTCTTTTTCTTTCTTTCTTTTTTTCTCTAATTGTGATATAATGTCTCTACCTGGAATGGAGTTTGGCCATCATAAACAGAGAAGGATAGTAGTTATTTTGCCTTGAAAAGATTGAAATTACTAATGGTTTGAAATATGAAAATAGAAACATCTCGGGAAGTTCCAAGTTCTTTCAGTTCTTTCCATCATTCTTGTTTGGCTTTAAAAACTGCTGCTGTTTCAAAAAGGGAACTGACCACACAAGAACCAGACATAAGTGATCCCAAACCCACAAGAAGAAAAAGAAACTCCATAGAGTTTCACACATGCTTGCTCTGTAAGCTTAGTGCTTTGAAATTTTCCTAAATATGTGTTTAAATTTTTACTGTATTCTATTTGATAACATCTACTGATTTCAGTTTCATTTTCTGCAGATGAAAGCCAAAAAATTCTAATATGGTGTTTATGCTGTTTGATTAACAAAGTACCACAGAACAGTGGAGAATCAGAACCTAACTTCTGGATCTGGGTAAGAGGGTAAATCTTGCTATGTGCTGCTTTGAATTAAATTAGTTATGTAAAGCTACTGCTCCCCTGCTCTCCCCGTTTATTGGTTCAGTTATGTTTTAGAACTTCACCCTTTACCGTTTTAACATTTTCTTGCTAAGTGTAAAGTTATTCAAAAGATTTCAATTTGCTTGTTTATAACTTCCAAAAAATATTGCTCCTTATGATGAGCCCCTCATCCACCCTCCAACCCCTGTGCTGGCAACACCTAATGCTGATTGGTTTTGAGAACTACTTTGTGATAATTAGAAGAATGATTTACCCTGTTTCCTTCCAGCTATTGCTGTCCTTCAAAACACTGTTCTTCCCTACCAACCCAGTTTGGATCCTTATATAATTCCTCTCCAAGTACCTCTCTGCTTTTCAGAATCTCTTCTGTAGCAGGCCCAAGATCAGAAGTGCCCAAGGATCCAACCTTTTATTTTGTGTCCCTAAGTTGGTGCCTAGGCCTATGTGGCTCACAGAATAACTGGTGCCTCTTGGCCACTGCTGCTCATGCTTTCAAAGTCATTAACCATGGCAGTCATCCAGATGGCTTCCCATACATCTCCCTGTCTGTGTCGGCTTCCTCTGGAAGGTTAGGCCCAAGTTGGAGAACCGGATAGGGCTGGCTGTTTCTGGCTACCACCTGTATTTTGGCTGTTCATTTTCTGTTGCCCCACCCCACCCCACCCCGTCCTGCTGCCACAGTTCATGGACTTGCTGATGCCATCAGACTCAGACTTAGTGTGCATGTGGTTCTCATTAGCTGCTTCAAAATGTGAAATCACCCAGGCAGATTAGTGCATGTGGTTTGGTCTGTCAATGACTGGTGATATCATTACATTCACTCTTTTATGAGTCCTTTATTTTTGATGAAATTGGTAACAGAGATGGCAAATGCAGTATTTGTATTTTTTCTGTTAAATTGAAAGAAGAATAGAGAATATCCAAGGAGGTAAAATGATCGGCAAGGGAAGGAGTAAATGGAGAATGTAGTTGGAAAGAAAATTCATGTAAGGGACTCAAGAAAGGCACTGATAGAATTAGAGACAACAATGAAACTGTAGAAACAGAATAGCATTTAGTCTTTAATAAGATATATAGTCTTTAATAAGATAATATGTAGTCTTTAATTTTTTAATTTTTACATTTTGTAGCATATTTGGTATTTTAAGAATAATTACTTAGCATACAAGCCAGTATTGGCTAGTTCATTAAGCCCTAGTATAGCCTAGGGCTTAATCTAATAAAGTATTTCTAGGACAGTTAAATTTAACTTTGTTCATTTAGCTCATGCGTTTGTTAGCCTATTTTAAAGCTTCTAGTCTCACATTTTATTTTGTGGGGTTTTTTTTCCCCTTGTTTAATAACTTTCTACTTATTGAGAAGCACTTAAATTAAAGGTAGTACAGAAAGGTAAAGTTAAAATACTTAATTCTCACTGTGGGGACCTGACAGTTTGGTAACCAGACCACTGCAGAGCATTGCTTTGGCTGTTGGTAGAGCCCTGTGTAGGCAAGATGGTGGCAGAGAGGAGGATAATTCCTGATGAAGGTGTCATAATAGATATGTTCTGAGGGTGACTACATGTGCAAGGGATAGCTAGGGTGTCAATGTAAAGAGAATATGGGCAGCATGGTGCTAAGGAAGTAAACACTCAAGAAACTGCAGGTGCTTTCAGATGCTTGGAACTTGGCTTTCTTAGAGTTTGTGATAAGCCTGAAGCTGGCAAGACAGGCAAACATCAGCCCTTATATGTGATTATGAGACTTTCTTTGTCAAATATACTGAGGAAACCACTGGAGTATTTAAATAGAGAAATCATATGGCAGGTATCAATTTTGAAGCGTAATAGTGAGAGGAAGTTTATTTGGAGAAGGGAAAGGGTAGCACTTTGGAAACTACTACAGTGACGTAGGGGAGACAGCAAGAGTCCTGGGTGATGGGCCATATTAACTAGATATTTATCAAATAAGGTAAATATCCAGAAGATGTAATAGCAGATAAAGTGAAAATGTGTTTAGAGATTGATGGAGATGTACAGAGAGTAGTTGAACATACTGTTCACAGGAAAGCAAGCTGATTGACAAAGCAGGGTTGAGAGTGAGCAGTGACTGGGAATACAGTGGTAGAAACTTTGGGTGAGGTAATACTATACAAGGAGCAGGAAAGGGCATTTAATAAAAGCCTCAGGTCATTAAAGACAGTGGAAATGATCGAGGCTACAGACTCAAAGACATCTAAGAAGAAAGAAGAAGTGTACTGCTTCAAGAAGGATGAGGGGTCATTCATAGCCAGTGCTATAGAGCCGCACTGTACAATTTAAAAAAAGTATTTATACTATGACTATAATGTCAAAATTCCAGGAGTTACTTTTTTTAGAGATTTTATTATTTTTATTTTATTTTATGTGTATGCGTGTATTGCCTGCATGTAGGTAGTGCACCCGTGTTGTGCAATGCTCACGGAGGTCAGAAGAGGCTGTCAGATTCCCTGGGACTGGAGTTATGGACAGTTATTAGCTGCCATGTGGGTGCCGGGATTTGAACCCGGGTCTTCTGCAAGAACAACCAGTGTTCTTAACCGCTGAGCCATCTATCCAACCCCCCCAGGAGCTACTTTAAGAAATATGTGCAAAATAGATAAGATTAACTTTTAGTTACTTTTTCAAGAAACTTAGTACTAAAGGAGTGAAGAGATGGTAGATTGGATCATAGAGTTTGGTGGGTAGAAACTGAGAAAGCTCTAGATATGCTTTACTCTGAGACTGTCTTAGTAGGTAGAGGTTCAGGGCATAAGAGATTGGGGGCAGCCCTTTCCCTCCTGTCTTCGACTCCCCACTTGAAGCCATTCTACCTTGCCCAGCTTTTTAGATAGAGTCTGGTGTTCAAACTCAGGTCCTCATACTTGCACAGGAAGTGTTTACCAACTGAGTTATCTCCCCTGCCCCAGAGGTAATAGCTTTTCTGTAAAAGTTTTAAGTATAGTATAATGCATATTAAAGATATCATTCAGTGTCCTTATGAAAATTATGTTAGCTATACCTTAATAGCATTTATTAATTTTGTCAGCAGATATTTGTTTAATGCCTACAGTGCACTATAATATTGAAATTAAAATATAATCTTGAGTCACTCTGTGTTTCTGGAGCATTACAAATGTGATTGACATTTCCAAAATCAGCTGAGCATGTTGCTACATGCCCTTAATCTTAGCACTTGGGAGGCAGAGGCAACTGAATCTTTGTGAGTTCAGAACTAGTCAGTCTACATAGTGAGTTCCAGGCCAGCCAGTCCTAGATAGTGAGACCTTGCCTCAAAAACAAAAGGAAAAACAAAAACAAAAAAACTGTTCCCAAATCAGTGAAGGAAGGTAGCAGATTAGAAGCCTGTGTTTTCTCCAGAATGAACAAGAACAGCTGTATAGCTGCATGCCAAGATAGTGTGAGAACATGCTGGCATGCAACATAGAGTATCAGTGACCAAGTGACACCCAGAAACAATAGATTTTAGAATTGTAAGGAAAATGGAGTTCCTTACACTAAGCAGGGAGTTAGGTGGTGGTGGTGTGAGGGGCACTCCTCCATGGGGCTACAGCTGGAAATAGAGAAATCTCCTTCTATATATAAATACAAAATATGGCACCTTTAAACTGAAAACCTGGGCTTCATATTGTAGCTGATGCTGGAAAAGATGTTCTCTGTAACTCTCAGTATTTTCATAAAGTTCCTTAATTGGGAGACACTGAAAAATTGTATTTATTATTATTGGGAAGGAGACATGCCATGGTACGTATATGGAGGTCAGAGGACAAACTGAGAATGAGTTCTCTCCTACCATGTGACTTGAACTCAGGTAATCAGACTTGTGTAACAAGCACTTTACCTGCTGAGCTATCTCATTGGCTCTGGGAGACATTTAAGAAGATCTTAACCTCTGATCTTCAATCAGAAGCCTTTGCATTATTTATATCTTTAAGACTTAATGGCTTTGTTTCCTGGCTCATTGAACAGTCACCGTGAGAAGCAGTGTGGACTTGGGAAGTGAACGTGACTTTAACACTAGTCCATGAAGAGATCTCCGTTTAAAATTGGTGCATTATTCTTGTAGGTAGATGGAGGATTAAAGGCTGCCTCTGAGTGAGCCAGTGGAGAGTCAGAGTGAGCAAAAACCAGAGTAGATTCCAAAGAGAGAAATAGAGGGAAAGCTTCAGAAATCAACAAAGGAAGTGAAAGGATACTAGAGAAAAGCAGAAACAAAAATGCATTGTAGAAAAACAAGCTGAACACAGCCTGTGTGATAGGGAGTGAAGGTGGGGGAATGCACAAACTCAGAACCCTGCTTCCAGAAGCAATTTCTTTCTCCTTGCTGAGTGATACTGGGGATGAAGCCTTCAAATATTCACTGTTCATGGTTATATCTGTCATGTCTCATCCAGAAGACAGCTTTTCATATCACTTCTCCCCCTCCTTCAGCTCTTAAAAATGTATCTACCCTTTCCATAATGCTCCCTAGGCTTTAGAGGAGCTGATATAGATGTACTGCTTAGGGATGAGCCATCAACAGTTACTTATTCTCAGCACTTTGACCAGTTATGAACCTCTACATTAACTGACACCCCCTGCAAAAGGAAGTTTCTATGGTCAAGGCAAAGAGCAATACTAGTCTAAGGGTGGAAACATAAATGGTTTGGGCTGGAGAGATAGCTCAGTGGTTAAAAACACTGGCTGTTCTTGCAGAAGACCACAGTTCAAATCCCAGCACCCACATGGCAGCTAACAACTGTCCATAATTCCAGTTCAAGGGGATCCAACAATCTCTTCTGTCCTCTGCAGGCATTGCACGACATGGGTGTGCTAACCTACATGCAGGCAATACATGCATACACATAAAATAAAAAATAATAAATAAAATATAAAAACAAAAATAGTTTTTGGACAGTTTGTCTATGTGTATTCAGCAAAGCTATGACTACCTGCAC